ATGAAATGATCTGATTTATTTAATTAATTTGCTAATTTGTTTAGAAAAAAATAATTTAATTTAATTAATTCAATATAAAAAATAAAAAAATTATTTAGTTTCGGGTCTTATTCGGTTCTTCGGTTATTGGTCTAGAACCAAGACCCCGACCCAAACCCATTGATTTTCGATTCGGGTACCCGTTCGGGTATTTAATTTATGAAGAACCGCTCGGTTCGGTTTAATCCGATCGGTTCGAGACTTTTTGGACACCCCTAACCGTAGCAAATAATGTTTGATAAAATGGACGACATCATTGGCATATTAAGCAACATGACCTATTACAATAAATAAGATTTTAATTCATTACAAATGCACGTCCCACTTGTTGTGAAGGTTAAAATATAACTAAAAGGTTATATCAAAAAAAAAAAAAAAATAACTTAAATATCGAAAAGGTGTGGGCCACAAAATTTGTCATTTATCTCACACACATTATATGGTTGACTTTAAGTCTACTCATTTATATTTCAATATTGAAATGGGGTGTTCATATCATGAAGGAAACTTCATGATCTCTATCCAAAAAGATACTTTCTATATGTTGTAATATTTTAATTTTTACTTTGCTACGTATTTTCATAAAATCTGAAATGATAATAAAATTTATTGCAACATTTTATAAAGTCAACTAAACCAATCAACTGATAAGATAAACAACAAGACGTGAATTTCATAGTCAATCGAAAGTTCCAACATATCAAACATGTATTTGATTATCTCATTTTACCTAAAATTCCAAATGCCTGTTCGTAGAATCTTTGATGAAGTAACCAAAAGTTATTAACAAGGGAAATACATTAAAAATTGTTCATTATACTTCCACTAAAATATTGACAGGTAGAGAAGAATAAGAATTAATTTTATCCCATGTCTCTCTCTATAAATAGGGCATCAAAGCATTGTTCATTCATTCGAGAAGACAACCTCAAATTCGCAGAGCAGAAACCAACCAAAATTCAATAATTCTGTGAGAGACAACCACCAAACCTTACTCAGAAAGAAAAGAAACCGTCGATAAATCAAGTCTCCTCAATTCTCTTTGTTATGCTTATCAACTCTGTGCATTCAAAATATAGATGCTTGTGCCCATGCTCATGCCTTCCCCTGTTCATTTATACTGTGTTTCCTTTCTTGGAACCTCCTCCTCCTCCTTCTGAATCTCTCTACTGATATATATATATATATATATAGTTATAGTTTGTATAAGTATATTTTGAAAATCATATTCAGATCGAGTGAAATATGGATTCGGAAGTGGGGTTTGATAATGTGAAATTCGAAAAGGCAAAGGCCATGGCGAGGTTTAATCGGTTTCGGAAAATCACCAAGATATGGCAGATTTTTGAGGGTTTCTTGGTTTTTGCATTGGTGTCGTGGTCGTCGACGCGTGTTTCGCCGGTGCTGAAAATTTCTGGCCATTTTGTGTTGGAAGTGTCTTATCTTCTAAATCATCATGTTGTTTTCCTGATCGGGAATGTTATTATTATACTATTGTTTGTCCTTTGTCGCCAAAGTGACGCCGGCAATGTCACCGGTACCGTTGATTTCTACGATGATCATGTGAAACACAGCGAGACTGATAAAAGAAACTCCTCTGTATCCGAACGTGAATCTACTGCTCCGCTGGTTATAGCGGAGGCGGCCACCGTGGAATTTGGCGGTGGTGACGAGGAGGAGAAGAAGATTATCGTGTCTCCAGATAGCATGGAAAATGAGAACGTGACGATGGCTATAGAAAAAGCTTCCAGGCAGATAAAAAAATTTCAGAGGACGCAAACGGTGAAACTAAAGAGAGAGATCGCGGTGAAGCCGCGGCGCGAGCTCCGGCGATCGGAGACAGAGAACTTCGGAGCGATAGTGACCTCTGGCCAGCGACATTCCACAGGTATTACGACTTTCGACAGTGCCGAGATTGATACTTTGAGCAACGAAGAGTTCCAGCGAACTGTGGAAGCATTCATCCAAAAACACTGGAATAAAAAATCGCAGAATTAAACGTGTTAGTATATCTGATGTACAATTATGAGTTATATATTATCCCATAACTACTGCATGGAAATTTGAAGTTCTGGTATAAATTTCTCTTCAAAATTTTCAGTTCCAGGAGAACTAAAGTACATGTATGAATTTGCCCGTTTCTCAGTTTCTGTAGAATTGATGCCTACATTTTTTTCTTTTTATGGGAAATTCAAAAATCATGTCCATATACATCTCTCTCTCTCTCTCTCTTTTTCTGAATGTTCATGGATTAAGAATTAAAATCAGTACATGGAATTGGGAAGCCAATATTATTGTTAAATGAAGAAAAATTTACTTTTGGTAGAAACAGAGATGAATAAAGATAAAATCCGACGCGTAGTAGATGAACTAGTTAAAGATCAACATTAAAACCTTTTCCCATTATAATTATGCTCTATAACCGTGACCAACTACTCCGGAATTATATATATTAAAAAAATAATAATAATTACAAGCAGTCCTTTTCTTGTTACTTGGAATCAAAGAAAGAAAACAATATGATGCCAAATATATGACGTTATTTTTCAAGGACCAAAATTATCCTTCTCACCCAGTGTTCGTAAGAGATAATTGAACTTGTTTATCCGTGCTACAAATTTGATAAATAATTATAAATTAGGCAAAGTTTTACTTAATTTAGTGTAAATATTGTTATTGTAGGTAAAATCTACACTTTGAGGTATTTGAAGCAAAAATGAAGGGTTTATTCTCTTTACCATTTTTCAGCCATTTTCTATTTTTGATTTTCCAAAACAGTGAAAACGCGTTCTCTTTCCTATTTTCGGAAACGCGTTTTTGAAAACAAGTTAAAAATTTACAAAGAAAATCTAAAACGATAAATTTGTCTTTTTGAGTGTTTTCAGTTATAATCAAGTTAAAATTTTCAAAACGCGTTTTGAGTGTTTTCAAAACAATTTTTCAAAATGTCAAAAAGAACACATTTTCAACAAACTCAAAATAAACACTCAAAACACAAAATTGAAATACAAAAAGAACAGCCTCGAAGTTTTTAAGTTAATTTGGAGTTGGTTCGGAACAATTGAAAATTATTCGAATTGCACGGGATTGATAAGAGGCATTAAAAGGACAATTGAAGAAAAGTCGCAAGTTTTGAAAGTGAAATTCAACTCAAGAAGTTTAGAAACTAAACTGCACACTTTTGAAACTCGCAGGGGATAAATTTCTGAAGATAATAAATGTTCAAAAACTACATGGAATCTTGTGAAAGTTATGGGATCCATATATAAGATTGGGAATAAAAAAGGGCTAAAGTCATACAAGTAGGTTGAAAAAGGGCCTAAAGCGTAACATTTTCAAAGTTTGGGGTCGGACAGCAATAACATTTAAACACTAATCTAATTACAGCAATGATGCTCTGATTAATATACTTTCATTTTAATTTTTCACTATAATAATGCTACTTTAATTACAGCAATGATGATACCCTGATTTTGGAATCTGGAGTCATTGGCTTTTTCCCATATTATGATGCAATAGTCTTTGAAATATCTTTTTTTCTCATTCGAAAAAGTCACTTTTTTCTCCACTTTAGAAAAGCTCGGTTTAACAAGTCTTAATTATCTAGCGTAAAGCCACTAGCGACTAGTCTAGTTTGTGGAACATTCTTTTCTCAATCAGTATATTATCATTATCTTTAACCATCGAGTGGGTACTAATAGTCTAAAGTGAATCGTCTCGGCGTGATTCAATGAGTTCGACTCAACTTATATTTTTTCCATCATATCGATTGTGACTTGTGAGTTCGGACTAACCATTTACCTACAAGTTAGAAAGGAGTAGCATAGACTTGAAGACTTAGACCCGATGTGCCTCCCTCCTCGTATAAGTCAACTCACAATACAACTCATCGAAAATGACCACGATACTGAATGAAATTGAAATGAAAATACCAATAAAATGTTAATAAATGAACATTGATAAAATGTCAAATGATGCTTTAAATTGCCATTTAAAACTATAAATTAAAATATAGTAACAATACATACGTAACCCATGATAACCATGCATTCGTGTGTCCCTTACGTTCTACCGAGTCCATTTCAATTATTTTTGGGTTCATTATACATTATAGATTAGTGCTACCGGCCTAGTGCCTAGTTCCGCATAAATATGTTAATAATCTTCAATTTTCAACTCATATGAACTACGTAAATAAGCGTATAAACACTTCTCCAAAATAATATGAAAGCCTAATCTTTATTCAACATGACGTAAACTATGCGAACTATAACTGGTCTATCTCGACTACATTTTTTCTTAAATATGTCACGATATTCTACCCAAAATAGATATTTCTTTTCAAGACTTTTTAACTCTACTTCATGTCTCTATTTTTATCTCAAGAAGTTTTTTTTTTTAATTTTCACATTATTTAATAGTCATGATTAGAAATTGCCAACTTAGAGTTGATTTGGTGGCAGCTGGAAATAAAATTTCCTTTGATTTGGAGTTATGAAGGTAGTGTATAATACAAAATTAGTATGGTTCTCGTAATTTAAAGTGAAGGGCACTTCAATTTATTTTTAATTTTTTTTTTTGTTTCTTATGTGTTTGGATTTAGAGCCCTTATACCAAAGAGAAAATGAGAAATGTTATTCATCTCCAGTGGGGATGCATCCACAATCTATGTGGCGTTAATGTGGCAATGATATGTGAAATTGAATAAGTTATTTAATTTTACCTATCATTTAACCAATAATTTATATGCACATAGACTGGGGATGAATAACATTTTTTTATACCAAATTCTTGCTGGGAAATTGGAGTTAGTCCCAGCAATTAATATTTGTTGGGTCATGACTGGATAATTGCTTAATTTGGGACCTACCATTAATTTAACTTGTTGGCTCTGTACATTATGAATTTCTTGCTCAATTGTTCGCCTACTGATTTTGATTTAGGGGTTTTCATTGGGACATATTTAGATTAGCTCAATCACCATTAGCTGTTTCGAATATAGAAAATACATGAATACGGTGGTGTAAAAAAAGGGTACAAAGTATCGATAGTTCTTATCTTTGTTCATCGATAAATTACTAGGTCTTCCGATGATAAATTCCATAAATAACTAAAAAGATAAATGAAGTGGATTAGCTTGAACCTAACGGTAGAATAAACAACGTTTGTTCAATTATCTCAGGCTACAAATTATACTCATGTTCAGGGGCGGATTCAGGGACGGGCCAGACTCTACTACAACACAGATCCTAAGTAAAAAAAAAAAAGATTAGTAAAATTTTTTTTTCGCGTTTTAGCCAGTGCCTAATTTTTTTCTGGATCCGCCCCTGCTCTTGTTTATGTATTTATTCTTTTAATTTAACTCGGACAACTTATAATTTGTTCTTGTAATATTCTTGATAGTGCTAGAAGAATTAAGCTCCAGATCCGGTCAAATAATTCCATGAAAATACGTGTTCAATATTCTTCTAATTTTTATTTCCATTATTCACCAACAATTAATCATAAAATATTGAAAAAACACATAGGTCCTCTGACCCTTTTTTATATTTAAAATTGTTTCTAGAGAACCCCACTTCACAATATATTTAACTCGATTAATATTAATTTCAATTAAATTATTTTTCTTCTAAAAAGTAAAGAAAATTGGACCTAGGATTCCACTGGGGACCTTAAAACACAAACCACAAATAAAGAGGATACTAGATTTTTAAAGCACCATTAAATTAATTAATAAAGATTATTTTAAATAAAAGTTCATTACTGTATTCCAGGGGCATAAGTCGACATCACTCATAATTAATAAACCAGTTATTATAGAATTAAATTTAGTCTACATTGGCTCTTTTGCCACCTAAATTGCAGCTGGTGGTTGGACATTTACAAGTATTTTTTGTCGTGGATATGAATGAAAAATGTACATGTTGAAGCTTGGAATTTACTGTCACTGATTTATTGGTAATTATATTTTTTATTAGAGACGAGCTCAGTATTGATAGCTTGTTACGCTTAGATGATTAAGTGAACTTTGTGTTTTAGAGGATGAAGACGAGGCGTGGCAGAGTAATTAACGACATGGTATTCTCGTTTATCTTGTGTGAGATTGACGTTGCCATTTATGAATATTTACAAATGTTCGCGATCAGCGGACAATCTCAATGATAATGAAACACTTTCCCTTTGTGGTAGAATTTTTTTTATTTAGTCTCTGTGGTACAGTTTCTTTCAAATTCATTTTTTGTCAAAATCATTTTCAATCACAAATTCTTCCAATAAAATAATTTTGAACGTAAATTCAATTTTTTTCAACCGTATGGTCATGGTTGGATGCTATAGCTGGATATCTAAGATGTCCAATCACCGGAAAAATTCACACTCAGTGCTTGTTTGACTCTCATTAAATTAAAATTTATTTTTTTCTCTTTTCTTATCAATCACACAGTCTCCAATAAAATAATATTACACGTAAATTTAAAAATATTTCTTTCTTTTTTAACTACACATTCTCCAAAAAATTACTGTTCCTCTCGTTATAATCCAAAATAATGGAGCCCAAACAGGGCTCAATTTGATTTTTAATGTACTAAATCCCAATAATCTTATGAAAACTCAGTGGCAAACTTTTACCAAAACTCTAGAGAACAAATACTGAAAAATCTACCTTGTCCCAACATCCCAGTTGACGGGTCGAAGAATCAATTTTGGCGTCTTGTCCTTTAGGCCATAGTCCTTACTGTAGTGGCACTGCATGGAAATCACAGATGAATTTCCCTTTGACGAGTCCAAGTCACATAAGTCAACTACACGACAATTAGTCGGATCAAGACAGACATCATAATTTGAAGGAAAATGCGCGTGAAAGACCCGTTACTATATATATTGACTTAGACTTCGAAGTTTTCAAAGAAGTTTTGTCACACCTGTGTGAACATTGTCTTTGTCTTAAAAAATTATATATTTTTTATAATACATCATAGCTCAATTGTATAATCCATTTT